TTGATAGTTACATTGCATTTTAAAAGTTTCAATCCAATAGAAATATTTGATTCTTTGTGTTGAATTGTTTCATATCTATTAATAAATTTCGTATGCTGTTTTCGTATATTAAATAGTAATTTGAATTAGTAGTATTAATAAGTCTAACATTATCCACTTTTGAAATTAACTGTTTATTAATATCTATAATGACTTAAATTTCACCGACACACCTTTGTAATTATTTAAAAACTAGCAATCAAATTTTGAAAATTAAGTTACATAATTAAAATTTAACATTTAATATTCTCAATCGAAACGTTTTTAATATTCAAATTTAATTTATATTTTATAATGCGCATAAATTTTCGTTACATAGAAGAACCGAAATATTGTTCTATAATTCATAAGTAATGTTTCCAAATTAATTCACATCACTTGTTACTTTCAAACGTTTTCTTATCTCAACAAAAGTTAATAGTACGTACCCTAGTTGTTTTTGCATGATCACCATCGACATAGTAGATTCTGTACCCCGGATTAAGATTGTAGTACGGTGTTACCGACGGGCAAATGTAAGCTATGCTAAGGGCTCTTTCAAGATCCGTAGTATCGTAAAACAATTGGAATTCGTCATAATGAGTATGTCCGAAGAACTGTGCCGTGATGGTTGATTCATACCTAGATTTAAAAAGCACTGATTTTAGTATCGTTCAGAGGTACATAATTTCAAAATTAACACTTTACCGACCGGTAGCCTATTAATCGGCTTTTTGCCGCTAACACTTACCGACCGGTAACCTATTAATCGGTCTTTTGCCGCCGACGCTTTTCGACCGATAGCCTATTAATCGGTCAAAGTTTGATTTAACATTTCTATAGGTATAAGAAAAAGCGCATATATTTCCGCGCGATAGCCTAGAGCCTAAACAGAGCCGGTGTCAGCGACGTATCTGTGGCCGAGTGGAGCGGTCGGAAGTGCGTAGGATGTTCAATCGTTACCAGTCGGTAAAGTGTTAACATTGATTTTAATACCGTTTTCATGTTTCAAGATAGTGGCACAGTCACACAGTGAAGTACTTATATGTAAAAGTTGGCCAGAATTATTTTACTAGTTTTAGCAGAGCCAAATGCACTTAGAAACGATGAAACGTAATTATTTGATACAATTCTACGCGAAAACTCACGCGAGAATGAAAAATTCAGAAATAAGCCGATTTATATAAATTTTCATATTGAAACTTTGAATGCAAGAATTAATTTTTAGATAATTTTTACATAATACTACAGGAATTTTAGATTGTAGATAGATTTTGCTTACAGAAAATGAAAAATAATAACGATTATATTTTAATAATAACAAACAATAAATAAAAATCTTTTCTTATGGCCTTCTTTTGTCTAAATTCTGACATCACAAAAATTGAAAATCATAAAAAAAAAAAGAACACTTTTCTGGTTTTCAATTAAGTATAAAGATTTGAATTTTGACCAGCTTTTTAAATAAAATATTCCGCTGTGCGTCGGTTTGCAGTGTGTTGCAAACTTATGGTTTAGTAACGAGGTCTGAGAAGAGCTCGGAGTACTCTGTTTCAAACGTTGTGTGTTTAGTCTTACTTAGGTTGATATTTGGAATAAGACTTACAAGGAACACAATTCAACTGACGATAAAATTGCACAAAGTTTTTTAAACAGATCGAAAGTATGTAACACAAAGGTCACGAAAATGTAAATTACAAATGCTACCAAAAGCTGGTTTGTAATTATGTAATTATGTAAAACTGTAATTATCGTTATTATATAAAATATTAATTATAATAAATGAACGGACGTTTCAGACAGTTTTGTCAGTCTCTTTGAATTCGTCATTGCAAGTTATTGAATTTGTCTCAACAAATGCCACCGTAACTACTATAAAATTAAAAAAAATGGTTTCATTTAAAAAAGTGAATTTGAATTTGACCTGCAAAAAAAAATAATTTGCATTATACGATGTTCCCCTTCATACCAAACAACTTCTGTAAAAACTTTTTTTTCGATAGGTGCAGCCCTCGCGAGATATTCCATTTTTCAAAATAAAGGAAATACCCTGTACATTTATTTATAATATACAAATTATTAATAAGAAATCAAGAAAATATTCATTTAAAGATATTATGAAATTAAATCTCTCAGGATCAGGTACAAGAATAAAATACTATTCAGTTGGCAATGTGTGAAGTATAAATGTTACACTGTTCCAATAAAGAGAAATATGATCAAATAGAAAATGCTAGCTTAGTATACTAACCGATTGATGATCTGATAATAATTCCTAGACCACACTTTCAAACAGTCTGAATGTCCAGGCGGTATGTGACCGATAATGTGAACTTTTTCGCCGTTCATTTCGGCACCTTGCAGCTCATAAACGAGCCATTGCAGTTCACTAACTGGATCTGTGCTATTAAGCAGCAACCACCAGTTCTTATTATTGCAGTAATTCATGTTTACAGAAAGAATTCTGAAACCTGGACGAACTAGGACGGAATAAAATGCACCACGGCGAACGGTGTGCGAAACACCTGCTGGTAACCAACGTCTCCAATGCTTGTCAAGCGCATCGTACAACCATGATATGTCATTTTCCTTTGGAACGAATGGTGGTGGAAAGCTGAAACATTTATAAGTACAACTTGTAACGCATACAACGAATGGTGGTGGAAAGCTGGAACATTTATAAATACAACTTGTAACGCGAGGTCTCAGGAGTGCCTCAGGTGCTCTCCGGGCATGATTGCTTCGGGGAGTACCTGAACCGGATCGGAAAGGAGGCGACGGACGGATGCCACCACTGTGAGGAGGGGCTCTGGGACCCGGCCCAACACACCCTCGCGGAGTGTCCCGCGTGGGAGGTGGAGCGCCGGGTCCTGGTGCAGGAGATCGGCCGGGACCTCTTGCCGCCGGCTTTTGTCAAGGCCATGTTGGCGAGCGAGGGGTCCTGGAACGCGGAGGCCGAGCCTTTTTCTGCGAGCAAGTGATGCTGCAGAAGGAGGCCGCCGAACGAGAAGGCGGATCCGGAGAGCCCGACGGAGACGTCGGACAGGCCCTCCGGATGTTTCAGTTAATCCCGGGTAGGAGATGTCTCTTGCCCGGGGGGTGGAAACCCCCGGCCCGGGTATTGGGATTGCGAGGGGTCAGGCAGGGGTCTCATTTTTGGGGGCTTCCAGGGAAGGGGCGGTGCTGGGCGTGATCTCCTGGCACTGCAGAGCCCACGGACGGAGGGTGGGGGAGGTGACATATGAGCTCCTCCCCTCGAGGTCGGGGCGTGAGCCATAGGCGCGGGGAAGCATGGCCCTCCCTAGCGAGTCCGACGAGGATCACCGCGGAGGTTTTAGTGGGTCAAAAATCCTACACAAAATCCCTCGGGGGAGGGAGGCGGGGTGCCTTGGTGAAGATTTCAAAAAGGTCTCAGAAGTAGAGTAGAGAGAGAGAAGGCTTGACTCGATGCACTTCGGTCAGGATAGCTAGGATCCTTCTGCCAAGATTTGTCAAGAAATGACTAACTTTTCGCTTTTTTCTTTTTATGAATTTTACTTGAATGAGGGTTGCCAGAGTATAGACAATTGTATATTCTGACAATGTTTCGTTAATAAATGAGTAGTGCACTGAGGGAGATCTTGTTATTACACGGACTTAACTTTCTTTATACCTGTGTATCTGTGTTAACCCTTTCGCTACGACAGATTTTAATGCGTAACGTGGGTGATTGTTAACATTTTTAACCACGGCTGCAAAATTTGTTATTTTGGCCGTATCGTTTTAAAATTCGGTTCATTAAATTAAGATGGAAATGCGTAAAGGATAACATTAAGTATTAAGTTAAGGTGGAAGTGCACCAAGAGGTTCCAAGAGTATAGTGCGAGCAAATTTTCAAATAGGCACCAATAGTAATGAAAGGGTTAATATTTGGAATTTTTCAAAAAAATTTTCAGTAGAATATTTTAGAACTTTCACATTAACACGTTGACTGCGATGTTAGTTACCTGTGATCGGAGATTGTTTCTTTGATGGGGCCGTAGTTGTCATCAGTGAGCGGAGTGTCTCAAATGTTTAGAATAATTAAAATAAAACGAATATCGTCAACTAAAAATTTCGAACATCATAGCTAACTAGACATTATTTTGAATTTAAAAAAATAATAATATAGTATTATGCTTAGAATAACGAAAATTTTCTTGTGGCTCCCTGAGAGCAATGTGTAAATCTGGTGCGGCAGTCAACGTGTTAACAGGAAGTAGAACAAAAAGTCATCGATTTCTTAAATCCAATTCGAGGGAATACCCCCTTAACCTTTTAGCTACGGCGGAACTGTACGGACAGCTAGCTCCGCCGCGGACTGTGCGTGAACGACGTTAATATCGCAGGAAATAAAAATAGGTTTCAACGCGAGATAAACAAGTGAGCCACTATAGCGGTTTTTCCTAGCAAAATGTTACTTTGAGTTTAGAGGGAAGCCACTATAAGAAAATTAAAATATTTTCAAATATAATCTAATTACATTAAAAATTAACATATTACACAATTATATCGAATAGACAGAAAAATTAGAAAAATTATTATAGGTTAAAGGGAAGAAACTGAGAAAAATTTAAGTACCTACTAACATGTGACAAAAATAAAAGTATGCCAACGTATAGACTTGCTTTACCGTGAAAATAATAGCTCTCTTGCGAAAGAAATGCAGCAAAAAAGTCCAATTTGTAAGTGAGATCTTCAGGTTTTTTTTTTTTCGTTTTTCAACAATCAGTTTTATTCTAACAAATTTACAGTGAGCGAAAAAATGGTCTTAAATCGCTAGAAGAAAGTTCAGGAAGTGAGCAAAAGAACATACCTATTAACAGGAGCACTTTCATGGTTTCCCAGAGCTGGAAAGATCGGTATTCCAGGAAACATTTCAATGAGCTGTGTCACGGTTTCGTGCAAAACTTTCAGATTTTCATCGCGTGTTTGGTTCCATACATCGTGAGGTGGTAAGTCACCGGTCCACAATATATAATCAATATCCTGGATGAACAGAAAAATTTGTCAAGCGTCATCGCTTATCTTTTTTTCGAAAAGTATGCCAATTCTTCAAAAAAAAATTTCCTTCCATCATGAACTTTCTTGTTAAAAAGATCTTCTGCTATTTTTTCATTCTTTCATTTATATTCTTGGTACGTAATAATAAATTAGCAAAAGAAAAATATTAGAAAATCTTTTCCATTTAGAATACATTCGAAATATTAGCAAATTCGGTGACGCATTGATTAAATAATTACAAGATTATTGTTACTGCATAATTAGCATAATTCGCTTTATATGCACTATCAACCAATAGTTTGGGAGCAATTTTCATATAAATTTCGTATTACTTCGTTTTGGTAGATTAGAGTGAGGAAAAATTCGCTAAATATTTTAACCGATAGTGTAATTTATTAATCTATTATGCAGTGTTAATATTTCTCTCGATGCCATATGTTTTAAATACTACAATGTTAATTAAAACGAAACATCGTGAAAAGATTTTAAACATTCATAAAGAGACTTCTGCATATGAAATACAAGTTAAGCTACTCTTCGTTCAAAATAAGAATAACCTCGTATCGTGCATGGGACGTGCCTAAGGCAGGGCTGGAACGTCCAAACCCCCACTTAACCGCCTACGTTTTTCTCCGTCTTGCCCTCTGCTACGCTCTCTGTCTATGCGCAGAACGGACGAGAATCGGTCCGAGAGCGAGGTTATTCTTATTCTGAACGAACAGTAGTAGGTGAAATAATTTTCTACCAAAGTTTTACATTTTTCCCGATATTCTTAAAAATACGAATTTACATAAAAATCCGCAATCCAATTATAATCTGTCTCTCTGACAAATTGCTAACATTCACACAGTGACCGGTAAAAGAAGCACAGTAAGAGTACTCTAAAGCAGTGGTCTCAAACTCAAATTGCACGCGGGCCGAATGCACGATCTGAAAGCAGCTGACGGGCTGGAATTTTTTTTTTCACCACACAAGCTCAGTCCATATCTCTGTGACTTTAAAACTTTAAGCACCGTATTTACAACAAGTACATAATTGAAATGTATTCGCGGGCCGTGTAAAATTGCTTCGAGGGCCGCCAGTTTGATACCACAGCTCTAAAGCACTCATATCGTGTGATGAAAAAAAAAAAAAAAAGAAAAAAGAAAATGCATCGAATGATACGTCTATTCTGTATCTCGTGTCCGTGGTAATACTATATGATTACTTACAGAGTGAGTATCTACGATGTGTTTGAGCATATGTTCAACGGTTCTCTTTGGCGTGTCGCATTTTCTATAATCACCCCATCGGCCAGCAGCTGAGGCTGAACTCTGGGGTGCTCCATTGGTCAATCTGCAGCATAACGGCTCGTTACAATCCGCGTTTGCGCCCTCTTGATAGTAAGGATCGTAGTGGGTATCTGAGATATGTAGGACTTTGAAGGTCGGCGCACCTTCTTGAGGCGGTGCAGGAGGTTTCACAGGTGGTTTATTCACAGGTGGGAACGCCACTTCCCATTCGTGAAGGGGATTGTACGTATCATCGCATGCGTCGCCGATGACAAAACTACAGATTTGCGCTGGTCCCATGTTCACCTGCTTCAGCACGTAAATTACTTCTTTCTGAAGAAAAAACCATCGTTTCGACGTTTCTTTAGTTCGATGAAAGATAGTTTAGGAGGGTTATTCGATACGTAAAGAGACGAAACGCTCTGTTTATACAAGAAAATTTAGAGAAAAAAAATTTGATATAAATTTAATTTATAATTTATAATGAATAATGAAACTAGTTAATTGTTGGACCAAGTGTATAAATCGTATTATGAAGAAACACAATGTGTCCAAAGTTTCGTTTCAAAAAACGGCGCTTCATATGCATCAAGCTAATAGTATAAATGAGCCGTTTATTTTGATAGTGGTGTAAGTCTATTTTCCTAAATATTGAGATATTTAAGGGTTCCCGTTTTAACCGACTCGAAAATATTAACGATCACTAGTAGTCTCACTTTATAGTTTTTGTGGTGACAAATATTGAAACTTTCGAGGTATATCAAATATATCGGAATTGCTTGAAGAAAAATTGGGACCTCGTGACCACAAATGAACTTACATCGCTATCAAAATTATCAAATTTTCAAAAATGTGACTTAAATCATATTTAATTGCTTAGAATTCAAGATTTGTCCAAAAAATTATATTATATTTCCGAAAATTTCAATCTTTTATTCATGTTATGCCAAGCAAAATTGCATATAACTTCAAACAACATTGTACATTAAAAATAAAAAAAATATTCATGATTTTTGATTTATTCATTTAAAACATCTTCATTGACACCGTGAGAAAGGTTTTTGAAATAACTGTGGTGCACAGGTGGAACATAAGGCAATAAATCACTCGTATCTTTATATTTAGCTGAGGTTAATTTACTTATTCTGGTAAGTAGAAAAACTTCAAATCGACCGATGATAATGAATTTTATTTTGGCCCGAAAATTAAATTTAATTTTATTTGTGCAATTTATGCATAATCTCGATTTTTTTTTAAATGGACTTACACCACTATCAAAATAAACGGCTCAAATATCGATTGCTATCGATCATTTACTAGAATCTAGATCTACTGTGAATTTAACACTAAAATTACCGGCCGAGTCATTAGCAACTTTCGAAAAAAAAAAAGTGAATGTTCAGTACTGTTAAGAATTAGCGTTTGTAACTTTCCGAATTCATTTTCTGCATCTGTGCTTCTATTTGTATCGATATGAATCTAATTTCCCAGTCACATTTTACTTATATAAAAATTCACTCTTCGAAAGTCGCTAATGGGTTAGTTCTAGTGTTAAAACACAAATTAATTTGGGTAATTCTCTAAAATCGGGTAATTTATCGCGTAAAAAAACAACCAAAAACAAAGAGTACAGTTTTTCATTCGAGACATGGTTTTCGAAAGAAAAGAAAACTCTTACGAAAAATTAGGTACTTGACTACAGATCGATTTCTGTTTTAATAATTACTTCTACTCCGTCGATAAGTTCGTAAACGTCGCGTCGGTAATATCCATAAGCAATTCGATAAACGTTCGGAATTTAAACGATTTCTACGAAGATATGGAAAATATTGATAAAACAAAACAAACTATCATTTTTCTGAAAATGTTAGATGGACAAACAAAAAATCATCGAAGGCTTTTCGAATCTTAAAACTTCAGGAGTCACGCATAATCATTATTCATTTCTATTAATAACTTTAGTGCAATGAAATAGAACAAAACTATTTATCAAAACTTTTTCGATAAGTAATATTAATAAGATTATCGTAAGAAAACTTTGACCCATATTTTCAATTGTTTCTCTTGCACGAAATATCACTTCCGGGTCAGATGCAGTTTACTCTGTACGCAAGTGGAATAAAATCCAGGATTGTAAACTGATGAATAAACATTTATAAAGAGCAGAGTGAAAATATGATAAACACTTAACGCAGAGAGATATACAAGCTGAACTTGTTTTATATCTTATGTTAATTTTACGAGAGTCTAGAATAAAATGGACGATCTTTTAATTTCTTCGTGCATTCGAAAAATGATAAGAAGGGGGGGTAAAAGCAAATTAAAAGAATGAAACTTACCCCGAAAAGCAACGTAACTCCTTGACAAACTCGGGGACTTTGAATGTTAAGAGATGCACAAAATTGATAAATACTGTTCATTATTTCTTCGTCATTCTTTCCGCTCTTTATGTAATATTGAAGAAGACCTGCGCCAACTTTGCATGCTGTACAGGACACTTTCGACATTACCGACGTTTCCACCTCCATCATTACCTGCTTTAGATCTAATAATTTCAAAGCTTTGTCCACAAATCCGGAAAAATGGCCGCTGGGTTGTATACTTTCCATCTCCCACAACATTCGAGAATAATTGTACTGAAAAATACAATATGAAATATACATAATTTTTTCTGATAAATGAACCGTTTTCTTTTTTTTTTTTTAAGTTGCATAACTCCATTTTGTTCTTATATTGAGATATCCCCAGGGTTTTCGTTTGAATTAATTAAAAAATATCGGCAAACGTTAGTAATTTCGTATAATGTTTAAAAAATTGTAAACATGTCCAATTTTATTATGTGATAATAATTATTAACATTGTTACAGAAAAACAAGGTTTTTTATTAGCTACAAATGGACTTATACCACTTTCGATAATAACAAATTTTAGGCACACGAATAATACTAATTTCAAAATTAAATATTAGTTTTTGAAATATGTATTGTATTAAAAAAGAATATTTTCTTTGGAAAAATAAAGAAAGAATTATTTATACGAAATAACACAAAAATGTGAAAACTTTTCAAAATTTTCGCCTCACAAAAGCAATACAAAATAAAAAGCATATGGCATTAGGTCTATGCAAAAGTCTCCATCTTGCAAATCGATGACGCTAATAAAAGGCACTGTATTTTCTTGTTCAAATTTTCACAGTTGGTATTTATGATAAGTATTACAATTCATTCAATACAGTGAATGTAGCGTTAATATTATATTATATTAAATATAATCAAAAATGAATGCATATTCCCCAATGAAAATGCGATGGAAACTTCTGCATGCGTTTCAACAGACAACGAGAATTTTTGATAATACAAATTTCTTGACAAATGTAACATCTGGAGAATAATGGACTTTATGTTAAAGTGAAAAATTGTATCGTTCATTGTGAAACTTTCGCAGGGAAAGTCACTGACATTGGATTATACGTGGAAACACGAATAGGAAGGATACAGTATATATATATATATATATCTATCCTCGTCGATCAAGTTGGTGAAAGTATTTTGGCACTGAAAGTGAGAGTCGGCAGTATCGTCTCGTCGGACGTGAGAAAAGTCAGAGAAATACGGAAGAATCGAGAAAACAAGCTGAAGACATTGCACCTTGTGAAAATTCATCAATACAAACGAAGCATTGTCGTTTAATCTCCGCTAAATATATTATCTTAATCTTTAATGTCAATCTTGAACGCATTGTTTTTTATTTCTTTAATTTTTTTTATTAGGTTAGAAATGAATTGTTTCCGATTGGATGCGCGTAATTGATTCAAACCCACCGACTTTCTATCGCGATAGTATTCGCAAGCTGTTAGAAAAATGGCAAAAAGTCGTAAAATATGATGGAAATTATTTCAATTCTTGATCTGTTTTCATTCTTTTTAAACGAAACTTTGATTTTACTGTGATGCTGGATGTTCATGAGTATTGACATTTACGCGGTAAATGAATATTCTGTATTCGTAAAATATTGGATGATTGCAAAAGTTGGTGCCCGATTTGAAAATAAAACACAAGCGGTGCATCTTTCGATAGAAATGTAACGTGACGGTAAAACAGATATCTGTGCCAGTGTCGATAAGACTCCCGCCATCTCTGAAAATTGGGCACGAACTTTTGCAATCATCCAATATTTGAAAATTTTGATTCTTTTGTTCATGGTATCGATACCTACATGATTGGTATTGTTCCAAGAGACATCAGTATTGAAAATTAATCGGAGTATCCGAGATTTCGATATCTTTCGACACTGCCTAAATAGTGAGTACTTGAGTATCGAATTGTTTAACCAGTCAGCTGATGCGACCTCTTTGGAAAGTGTGTACCTAAAATGTGTCGCCAAAAGTAAGCGATGACGAGTACACTCGTCAAACACAGAGTATGTGTGGTTGTTATAATATAGAATTAAGTTGTAATGAAATGACTGTTTTATTTTTTAATTTTATTACCGACAGGGCTTTCTGGTGTTTGGGCTGAAGGTTTTTCCAAAAGGTTCCTAAGGTGATGAATGTGTGAAAAAGAGATTTGTTTGAAAATAAAACATAAAAATAAAAAAAAAAGTAAAAAGCAGAGTAGCAGTAGCAGTAGTTTAATGTTTTAGTTTTCACTAAAATTGCAATTTAAACAGCAAATTGTAACTACTTTCTGCGCATGACGAGTATACTCGTCATAACACAAAATATTGCTATTTCTTCGTGACGAGTATACTCGTCAAAAACAGCTAACCGGTTAAAGGGAGATTCTCGTGTAACGGGTCCAAAAAATCAATTTTCTTTTTCTTGCACAAATGGATAGTTTTATATGTTGAGAATATGTTCCCAAAGTTTTAGATCGGAATTCGAAGAATTAACAGAGCTATATATAACCCGTTGGAACATAGCGCGTCACGCATGAACGTATATCGGAGAAAACTTTAAACGCGTTTTTCTCGAAACGATGTTTTGTAAATTGGCGTACGCGATAACTCAATAACTAATAAACTGATCAACTTCGAACGAAGCTTGTTTTATTTCTTATACATTCCTCTAGGGACTACACCTCTGATCTTTATTTTATTCTTTATTTATAATATTCTTCTGATCAATATAAGCTCAATTTATACACCAAAATAGTCAATTTTTGTTCGAAATCGTACAGCTTGTCTAATTTTCTATAATTTTTGTTTGAAATAGATATAGCCCCAGCACAAACTATCTAACTGTAAGAAACTTTTTTAATTTTTACATTCTGATGACAGTAACAAGTGCTACATTGACCGCCAATAATGGTTTCATCGTCGAAGAGTATAAAAACAATTGCATACAATTTGATAAAACAATGAAGAAAAGTAAACAAAAAAAATTGCTTGTGTAGTTTATGAATGTATCTACGTACCCGCAAAATAATAATCTTGTATTGTTAATAGTTTTCTCAAAAAAAAATATAGAAGAATCGTTCGATTTTACTGCTGTTACATGAGAATCCCCCCTTAAGTATCTTCGATATGTAATCGTATCAATCCCATCACTATCCGTGTCTCGTATCGTACGAGACATGCATTTTCTATTCGTTGTCGTAAGTCCACAATATTATTTATCGAAGATGAGTGGAACACAATGCCACGAGTGATAAACTTGTATCTGCTAAGTAATCTTCGTTGATATTAGTAATAATCTGGTGTTGTCATATAACCTTGAACTAATATACTTCTGCAATTCGTTCAATTTAAGAATAACCTCGTTTCGCGCATGGGACGTGCCAAAGGCAGGGCCAGAACGTCCAAACTCCCACTTAACCGCCTACGTTTTTCTCCGTCTTACCCTCTGCTACGCTCTCTGTCTGTGCGCAGAACGAACGAAAATCGGTCCGAGAGCGAGGTTATTCTTAAATTGAACGAAGTGTAAATCAATTCTTCTGTTTACATTCAATATGTTGCAAAGAGTCTCATTTATGATATTATATCGAACGTTCGTAAATATAGAAGTTAATTTTAAATCAAAAATACTTATTTTACTTTTTAAAGACTGGTTTTGATTTTCAATTTTTGTTGATGAAACACTTTTTATTCCTCTCGGCTACTACTATAAGCCTCTAAGGTCTTAGTCCTTTTTTTTTTTTAATCACCTTGTACATATGGTCTACGACCGTAAAACTTTATTTGGGTTTTTCTTCCAGATAATTTTAAGAGCCGCCGTCTATGCGAACGGACTTTTTACTCAACCTAATATCATTTTTGTAAGTGGACGCGTAGAGGACATACGGAGGTCAGGTTACTTTTTTTTAATGGAATCGTATATTTCTTTAACGCATCAATCGATTCAGCTCATCGTTCTCTATAAAAAAGTGTTAAGCTATTTATACCGAGAAACTATTACTTCAGGAGATATTTTAATAAACTTATGTAGCCTAACATTATATCTCTAGATTTTTACTTATGGAAGATTGTGTCAGAAAGTACTCTGACTCGGAGTAGGGTGGGCGTGAAATTAATTGAACGTGTCTACGGTTTTTACCATAGTATATGTTACACAAGAATTATATCCGCGTTATCTGAGCGTCGTTCGCAAAAAGTGTGCTTCAAGGGTCTCGTGAAGAGTGAGTATGCGTTGCCCTGCCAATCATAGTCCACCCCTACGCGAACAGGCCCAGGGAAAGACCCAAAGGGGCGGAGTCACCCCCCACCGAGCGCGCTGGGCGTGGCCTCAAGATGCTCGCTTCACCGTGTTCGGGACGGATTTTCTCACAATTGTAAAAGAAAAAGTTCATACTACGAAAGTATATACTGAAAATTGAGAGAATCAGGCATTGCATTTGACGAAATTAGATAAAATTGAATTCGAATTCAATTCTTGTATCGATAAAAGTGAGTAATATTCCAAAATGCAAACGTGGGCACGACATACTTCCGTATTGTGAACTTTTTTTCTTTTACAATCTTCCGTAAGTAAAATTAAAGAGACAAAGAGACTGAGATTGGTATCGAATAATATCTTGCTGTGTATTGAACTAACAATAACAGAATATTTTCATATTTTTCTTATAACTTTTTAATAAAGCATTTATGAACTTTTTGTTGCACGACAGTTTACTCTTATTTTTACCTATAGAACACACTGGCGAAGTTTGTACGGAAAATTCTAGGACACCCGGTATATCAGTAACTAATTTCAGCGACATAGTATTCACAGATAAGTGGCAATATAATTGAAATCTCTGTAAAAGATATTTCTAGCGGTACAATTTGCTGGTGAATAACAACGAAGAAAATGTAAACAGATTGACTAAACCTTATCTTTGTCTAATTATATTTTAACGACATTCGTAACTTTGAAGCACAATTAAATCACGTAACTACAATACAACTTCCTGATGGACGCTGTTACGAAACAGTCGTCAGAAAAGAAGAAGGAGAATTTTCGCGTACTAATGTAGCTGAATTCGAATACCCATTACAAAAATAACGTCTTGTAAAAAAAAAGGGGGGGTATTAAATGGTAATTAACTAAATTCTAATTAAACGTTGAGATTGTGTTACACAAATTCTGTCATGGTAAATTATGCAATCGTAATTAATATTTTAGCCGTGGGCAATGCTTTCCACATCTTGTTTGAAATTTTTTAAATATCGCTCGCATTTTGTAATATAATTAATTTTTCGGGTCGATAGTTTCATATGCGCCACTCAGAAGCCAAAATGATTAACTCCACTTTCTGAGATTCTTACAATTTTAGTATCAAAACGCATGCTTGGTGCTTGATTCTTCGTACATAAACAAAATTTGATAAATTCCATTTCACGGAGTTAGTCATTTTGGATTCTGAGTGGCTCGTATATCTATATGTTTACTTCCTATTGTCAATTAAACTTGACTAAAAGCTTGCTTTTGTTACACATCTGCGTTGCACACATTTTTGTATCTATTTAGGCATTTTTTAATTAATACAATTATATCAAGAAAATTTTCGTGTCATATAAGCAGCATTAAGAAACTGAATAAAAACTGAAGTAAATAACAAAAATTTCGAAGTTTTAGCAATAAAATGTAATCAATAGCAGTTAAGAATTAACCGATATACAGGGTGTCCCAGTATTGATGGTACAACCGTGGAGCGGGTGATTCTACGTGAGAAAATGAGTCGAAAATATGGAATAAATTTTTCTTATTCGAGGCTTCGTTTTCGAGGAAATCGACTTTAAATTTTCTTCGAGTACGCGAGTATATGTGTAAGGCGCCGTGCGACGCGCCTAGGCAACGACTGCGGGACCCGAGCCGCAGGGGGCCCTAGACAAGGAGCAGCGCAGGCTGCACCCCC